TGCTGTTAAACTGCTCATCCGTGTAATACTTGCAGTTATTTTCAGAGTTCTTAAAAAAGTTTTTTTCAGGGTCAAAATGTTCGTCCGGTTCATGATAATGAATTTCAGTATTTCCAATAGTGATCAGTTCCAGCTCCAGTCCCTCAAAATCTATTAACTTCTGTAACAAATCACTTGCCTCATTCCGTACATGTGTCAATATTAAGTGCTCACCTTTCGCGCCCCTCAATAAACCACATCCCTTGTGTTCCTTCTTACCTTGTTGAATATTTGTTTGAGCTTCCTGTTCAGTCCGAATCTATAAAATTTATTTTCCCCAACGATGTCCCATTCTTTTGTGAGAACTTCAATTTCATCAGCAAAACATTTCAGGGTGGAGATGGGGCATTTCTGCTAGAGAGAGGGGAGACAGATATTTAAGAAGTTGGACACTTCTTTTATTAACACAGTTGGTTTTAAAGAGTCAGTTCATGCAAATTAAACACCTTCTTACTTCTCTCTATTTACATTTAATGATGCATATGGTTTGTTTCCACATATTTCTACTTCAGCTATTCTCACGTTTGGTTCATTGCCATTTGCACCCGGTGAGGTGACGACAGCGCGCTCCTCCTACATCCTTCATCTCTTTGGCCAGACAAGAATGTTGACTCTGGTCAATTCAGTGACAGGTTTTTGTTGCATGCCAACTTATCTAGAGGGAATATTTTATTTTTACATGATCTATAAATGGCATCTACATTAAGGTTAAGGGAAAGCTCGTGGTTAAAGCAAAGTGAGGTGTTTTCACACCTTCAGTTCATTTGGTCTGGACCAAGTAAATAAATGACACAACACCGACATTGTATAAAAGACACCTATAGCTCTGTCCCCCGCGCAGCCCTTGGACTCTCTGATCACTGTATGGTCCATCTTATTCCAACCTACAAGCAGAAACCTAAAGCTGCAAAGCCTGTGGACAAAACAGTGAAGAGCTGGACTGAGGAGGCTAAGTCAGAGCTACAGGCCTGCTTTGACTGCACAGACTGGAGTGTGTTTGAGACTGCAGCTACAGACCTGGATGAACTCACTGACACTGTGACATCTGTGTCATCAGTTTCAGTGAGGATGTGTGTGTGCCCAAAATGACCTTCTGCACATACAACAACAACAACAACAACAAGCCCAACACACAAGATAGAAGAAATGTGAAAAGATTTGATTGTGATTTGGGCGAACTGGCCCTTTAACAACAAAAGCTCTTTGTTTAAAGTTAATGAAAGACACAGTTTCCACTCAAGACAAAAGCAGTTGAACATCTGCTGTTCCAGCTCCATTCTGCCACACAACAAGCAGTTCATTCAAAGGAGCTCACTGGCATGTTTTCTTTCCATTCGCTGTTCTTTTTAAGGTGATGTCTCTCTGTCAGTGACTGTGTTTCTGACACAGTTTGGACAGAAAACTGTAGAGAGAGTTCAACCAGAGGACACAGACATTGTCAGATCGACTCAGGCCTTATTAAAGTTAGACGAGAGCACATTACAACAGTTCCTGAGTTATGATGCATTCACACCCTAAACTCAACACGTCCTAAATGGAGTTTTTGTTTCTTCGTCTTTCTTCTCTGGCTTCTCTTTGCATCCTGTTCTGAATTTTCATGTGAACAGATGTGTTGGCTTTTATTAATGTTTTTATTGAGGTGGTTAAGCAGCTGATGACCTTTGGTCTGTGTGGGAAAGTGTAAAGAAGAGATTAAGAGTCAGGAAGATAAACAGCAGAGGGCTGTGAGGAAGCTCATACCTGGTAGTCTGCCGTGGTGGGGGTGTAGAGACTGCAATTCAGCCACTTCTGAGGAGAGACGGAAAGTTAGCTCTGTATGTGCACAGATAGATAGATAGATCGATCAATACTTTATTGATCCTGAGGGAAGTTCAGTCATGCTCAATACTAGTAGCAGCAGTAGTGATGGGGTATACAAGGTACTATGGATGTTCTTATACCTTCATTCTGTGCTTCAGTTCTGTAGGAGAAACAAGCTCTGCTTCGGTTTAAGGTATATACTTGTTTCTGAGCAACATGTTCAACTACATTTACAGTGTGAATAGGATTGGGAACATCAGGAGTTCGCATTCTTGTGCTTGTGAAATGCATGCATTTTTTTCTTTTTGGAGTTTAGAACAACTTGTACAGTGTTTTGTGACTGATGGACCTTTAAACTCATGAATAAACTCCAACTGGTATCTGGCCCCTGCAGGTCTGTGTTCAGTCTGCATCCCCACTTTGCCTGGTTTAAGCTTGAAGGAGGTATATCCACCGTGCTGATCGTCACTGCTGCAGCTCGTGACTAGACACGGCGTTACAGGAAGGTACAACAGGGCATCAGGCGTTCATTAATGAAACGTACCGAGCCACTCAGTCAAGGTACAGGTGCAGGGTGATTCTGCTGAAGGTGAGAGCCTAAACTAAAGGAGCCACTCCAAACAGTTACACTCACGGTCTAAACGTGCATCACTGATCTGGACTCAGTGGTAGTGTCACAGATAAATTACATCTATCTTGACTTGTTTTAAACCCATCTCATACCCATGGACTCACTGCTGTTGCATAACTGTTATGCTAAAGGGGCACTCCACCTCCCTACACAATCAGTACTTAGTAACACCTCCTCTGGCAGATATCACAGCTTGCAAACGCTTTTCATAGCCAGCTAAAAGTCTTTCAATTCTTGTACTTGGGATCTTCTCCCATTCTTCCTTGCAAAAGGCTTCTAGTTCTGTAATATTCTTTGGTCGTCTTGCATGCACAGCTCTTTTAAGATCTACCCACAAATTTTCAATGATGTTTAAATCAGGGGACTGTGATGGCCATTCCAAAACCTTCAGCCTGCGTCTCTTGAGGTATTCCATAGTGGATTTCGAGGTATGTTTAGGATCATTGTCCTGTTGTAGAAGCCATCCTCTTTTCAGCTTCAGCTTTTTTACAGATGGTGTGATGTTTGCTTCCAGAATTTGCTGGTATTTAGTGGAATCCATTCTTCCCTCCACCCGTGCAATGTTTCCTGTGCCACTGGCTGCAACACAACCCCAGAGCATGATAGATCCACCCCCATGCTTAATAGTTGGCAAGGTGTTCTTTTCATGAAATGCTGCTCCTTTTTTTCTCCAAACATGCCTTTGCTGATTGTGTCCAAAGAGTTCTATTTTAACTTCATCAGTCCACAGCACTTGTTTCCAAAACGCATCGGGCTTCTGTAGATGTCCTGTTGCATACTTCAGACGTTGGATTTTATGATGGGGACGCAGATAAGGTTTTCTTCTGCTGACTCTTCCATGAAGGCCTTGTCTGTGCAAGCATCGCTGCACAGTGGAACGGTGCACCACCACTCCTGAGTCTGCTAAATCTTCCTGCAGGTTTTTTGCAGTCAAATGGGGGTTTTGATTTGTCTTTCTGACCAGCATACGAGCAGTTCTGTCCGAGAGTTTTCTTGGTCTTCCAGATCTCATCTTGACCTCCACAGTTCCCCTGATCTGCCATCTCTTAATTACATTTCTTACTGTGGAAACTGCAAGCTGACAACGCTTTGCTATCTTCTTGTAGCCTTCTCCTGCATTGTGGGCATCAATAACTTTCATTTTCAGGGTCTTACACAGCTGCTTAGAGGAACCCATGGTTGCTGGGTGTCCACAAGTGTGTGCACAAGGTTTGAAGAGTCAAAGTATTTGTACAGCTTTGAAATTGGCATTTACCAATGACAGCTGTTGCTGTGCATCAGATCTAACGAGCTGATTAAGGTCTGATACCTTGTGAGAGACTTTGAGACTCTGGAACTCTTAGGGTGCCCAAACTTTTGCACCATGCCATAATCATGTTTTTATTTTTTATTTTTGTTCAATTTATGGCATAAGAAGTAACTATGCATCACTGTTTGCAGAAAATATTGTGCATTTTTTCCATTTCCAAGAGAAACTGTGTTAACATCTGTTCAAATAAAAAATCACCAAAATCTGTTATTTATCAAGGGGTGCCTAAACTTTTGCATAAGACTGTAACTACAACCCAGTTTCCAAAAAGGTTGGGTTGCTGTGTAGGTTATTAATAAAAACCAAATCAAATGCTTTGAAACTCCCCTTAACCTCCCAAAGATATCTGATGCTCAGTTAATATAGTTGTTATAGTTGGGTTTATATGAGCTTATTCTGAATTTGAGGTCATGACGGGGCAACAAAGACTGGAGACGCCGTGTAATGCTATAAAAGCCACTTGGTGGAACAAGGTACAGGCTAACCAGCAGCGGCATCGTGACTTTTTTCAGTCAAATGAAGGTTTTACATGATTCATTCACTGAATTTAGTTTTTACTTACATTTTACACAGCGTCCCAGACTTTTTGGACTCATTGTTCTAAACAGTTTAGTTTAATGGTCATGGTTAATCCTCCACCGCCTACGCACAGTTGGATAATGTCTTCTTTGGCTCGGGGTTTGAGAGCTGCTGTGAACTCGGGGAAGTCGCTGCTGTAATTGTGTGGTCAAGCCTGATCCAGATGTCTCCATAGCAAAGAAATATCACTGTCCTCTGATTTACATGCCGCAACCACAGTGACTGTGTAGTGGCTCCACAGGTGACCTACACTCAGTCCAGTCAGCATTAGATCCCAATGCTCAGGGGCAAGTGAAGTCTATTTCCCTTCTGAACCTCACTATGAACGAACCCTAAACAACCTACTCCTGAGCTTTGGGATCTACTGTTCACACGCTCAGTACTGGGCCACTGCCGCTCTGCTAACACACATGCGTGTGAGGACACAGAGGACAAAAGTGAGATCATATAAAAAGTATTTGTGTGACACATGTTTGGCTCTGGCTCATTATTGTTTGTCTGCTCGCACTCAGACACATGCCATCATCCCCCCCTCCACACACACGCAAACACATGTTGCTGTTTCTACAGTTGTGAGAACACCTGTTGACGTAAAGCATCCCCTTCCCCTGACCTAAACGCTAAGACCAGGTCTGAGATCTCAAAGTGCCTGTGAAGGTGTGAGGACCAGATGACACGTCCTCACAGTGACGGTACTGAACTAAAGTGTGTATGGCTGATGCTTTTGCATTTCACTAAACGGTTGTGAAGAGTTTTTGCTCTGAAGCATCCTCTGTCTCCACCCAGTGTTATTTCACTTGTCTCAGGAATCTGGGGTTAATCATTTATGAGGCTGATGTTAATTAGAATTTTTATTATTAATGGTACATCTGCTATTTCGATATATACTTTTTTCAACTTTTTTGGAAGTCCAACAAGTTTATTAATGTGAAACTGGATGTATTCTGTTTACTAGCCCTGTAGAAATAGGAATTATAGGCAAAGCTAGAAAATACACAGAACTTTATGTCCCACAGAATATTTTCCTTTTGTACATGATATTATTTAATATATTTGTGCACATTAAACACATTAAATGGCATCTTGGTGCCATGAGATAATATTTATAGTTATTTGAAATACATTGCAAAAAAAGATACAAACTTGTTCACATAAAATAATATTTAATATCTTCCACAGGTAAGATTTAAGAAAACATTCTGAGGGACTCACAGAAAACGAGTGAAGGTGTGAACAACACACTCCTCTGTCCACACCCAAGGCTGTCGCTTCCACTTTTATTGATAGGGGTGAATGTATGGCTGAACATTGGCCTCTGATCGTTGCAAACACCACAATCCAAGTGGGAGAAGATAATTGGATTTTGCGTGGGAAGCTCCATACAGGCTGCCTCACTAGTAAAGCCAGTTGGGGTTGTATGCAGCCTGAAAGCCATCCCTCTCTGTTTTCTGTATTGTTCTAAGAAAATGCTATGATTTAACACCAGTCCAAGATAAGACAGTGACGATGCTTAAAATGCTTTTCTTCGGAGTTACAGTCCAGGTTCACATAGTAGTTTATTTTTGGATTAGTTGCACAATTACCCCCATTTCTGAAACCAAACATGCCAAGCTGCTTTATTATATGTGATTCAAAGCTTTTCTTTGTGACATGAACATGAATTCAGTCAATGTTATTAGTCCAACTCTGCACGTCCTCCTACAGCTACAGCCAATATTTGTGTCATTCTGTTTTTGTCAGTTGTCGCCACATAGTGTCTGAGTCTTCTCACCTATTGGACTGTAGATCTCACAGATGTCAGCGCATCCTGTCTTTCAACCTCACACGTGACACAACAGTCTGGCACATACAGTACCAGCATTTCTTCAGTACAGTCCAACAACACAAGGGTTAACAGAAGCTCCACAGTCTGAAGCTACTGGCGGTGTGCTGCAACTTATTCACATGAGTTTCTTTTAGTAGAAAATGATTAACCATTAGTCATCACTGTGGGGTAAACTCTAAGGTCCTATCCCATCTGAGAAGCACAGCGGGGCTCAGTAAAGGCTCAGAGCAGGTTTAGAGCTGAATCTGAAACATGATACAGGATTGATCAAAGAAACTAAGACCAGTGCTAACATCTGTGCACCTCGTGGGTTGTTGTCCTTTCTCTCTCTCTCTTCTTTAAATCTAAAAACATTTTTCAAGTGAAAAATCACTAAAACTCAACAGTTAATCCAATTTTTCATAATGTTCAAATGAGATACGTACTGCTGGAATATTTCACAGTGAAAGAGCGACAGTGTATTTGCTGATAAAAAGTCAAACTCATACCAGTTCAGGGGCTTTTTCGATGTAGGAGTTGAGGTTTCGGCGGATGTCTCGAGAGCATGGATTGGCAGCTGGCTGCGGTTTCAGGGCGAGCAGACAGACGAAACACAGATACACACTTGTGAGAGCTGGCCCCCCTCGCATCATGGCTCAGGCAGCGGCAGCAGCATCACAGGGTCCTCTGCTGGGTCACACATCCTCGTGGAGATTAACAGCTTCAGCTTCCAGGATTTTAAATCCGTCACAGCTGGGAAGTTTTGTAAAAACAGAAATCCATGTTAGAAGTTGCACGGACAGAAACGAGTCTGACGTGCCCTTGAGCAACAAGCAGATGTTCCTGTAATCTGTTTGAATCTCACACCTGCCGAGGACGATCTAGACCCTTCCTCAGCCTTCAGGACTGTTGAGGTGCTCTCTAGTGAGGAATCAGCTTCAGGACTGGCTTTTCCTAGGAAAGTAGAGTTGAAGGTTTGACTTCTTTTCCTCTGTTTGATACAGGTGAGTTCTTAAAAGAACAAACTGAAATCCATGAAAGTTGCTCCAAACGGTAGTAAATCCTCCAGAAAAGAACCAGGTTTAATAAACTAATAAAAATGAAAGAGTCTTTTTAAAAAGCAGCTGTAACCCGAAACATGTCCAACAGCAAATTCCAACAGAAAAACACCGTCTCATTTCAGTGTTTCAACAAGTGAATTTTCTCTCTAGTTCACTAGTTTCTACTTTTTAACTTTCAGCTTCAGGGAAAGATCCCAGAGGCGATGGGCGCAGTAAATCCCAGACCTCCGGACGAGCAGCTCTCTTTTCTGTGCACGTGTTGTTCAGGTTTGGCCTCAGTCAGTGGGACAGAGAGAAGGATGGATGGTGTGGAGAGAGCTTCCCTCAGCCTCTCTCTGTTCTGTCTCGCCTTCTCCTTTCCTGCCCTCCTGTTTTCACTTTCCCACTCCTCCCCTTCCTCCTCTGGCTTGAGGGATCATGCTGTCTGGCAGCTCCCTCCTCTTTTCTTACCTTCCTGTATCTTGTTGCCCATGTGTGCAGTTTCAACAGCTTTTTCTTTTGTTGAGTACTGTATCTTCCCTGTCAAAGCCCTGCAGAGACAGAAATAAAGCTCCATAAATCACCAGGACATTCCTGTTTGGTGCTGCTAATGAGGACTCGACGGAAGCCTGTAAAATCCTGCCTATTAAACATCACTGCCACTTCCTGTCTATAATGTATAACTGCTACCTGTAGATCTACATTTGTACAAATAAATGATGTTATGTATTTCAGTCACATCCACATCAAAAATGTCAACAGTACAGCAACTCATTGTGTCCTATGTTGAATTTGCAAGATGGTTGTTTCATAAAATCCCATGAACTCCAACAGAACCAGTCTGAACTTGTTGCGCATGCAGTTTGGATTCTTAGCTGAGGCCAAATGAGTCTCCAAGGAATCTTTCTCTACTAAAGCAACTCTTTTGCATGTTCTCAGTACTCAGATCCTTTACTTAAATAAAAATAGCAAAATGTGGCACATTTCAATTCCTGTATATCATATGATTGTATTATAATAGCTGGACATCACAGGGGGGCTAGTTTAACTGGCTTATATGCATTTAATTAGAATTACTGCTGGGTAGCTTGTGAATTTAGCAGATACCATAAATCTTATGCTGTATTCTTTGTATTAATCAGCTGCTCAAAAGAAACTAGTAACTCCTTATTCCTAAAGTGGGTCAGAGCCGATCCCAGATGACTCTGGGTGAGAGGTGGGATCCACCCTGGACATTTCACCATCTGTCACAGGGCTGACGTGTAGACAAACAACCACTCACATGGGTGATTTAGAGTCACTAGTCAACCTAAGCTGCATGTCTTTGGACTGTGGGAAAGGTCTGGGGTTGAACCTGGAACCTGGACACCACTAACCACTGCCCCGCTGTGCCGCCCAACTAGTAACTCAAGTTATAAAATAAATGTAGTGAAGTAAAAAGTACATTTGCACCTAAAATGTAGTGAAGTATGAAGTAACACAAAATGAAAACACTCAAAGTACGAATACCTCAGAATTGTTCTTAAGTAACTGTACTTAGTTACTTTCCGCCGCTGGTGGCAGTAACACTGCAGAGTGAAGTCACACACAGAGCAGATGCAGCTCTGGGAAGAGGGCCAGCAGACAACACAGTTACACCAGGGACAAAGACACAAGCGTCTCCTACATATTTGCTGCTGGCACGTCACCGCTGCGTAATTCAAAATCCAAAGATCTTTTAATTAGCCCCAGAGAGAAACTGCTTTGCCTTGTTACAGCATGGAAAAGAAAGGAAAACGGGAATGAACCCTAGCAACAGCAACAATAAATAAATAAAATGAAGTGCGCCACAGACGGAGGTGCAGGGCAGGTCGGTAATGACGCAGAGACGTAAGAAGTGATAATTGTGATGGTTAAAAGTTGAATGTGAGACAGTGGTGATAAAAAGTAAGTCAACAGTCATCACCAGTATTTATGATGAGCACAGAGATTTGATAGCAGTACATTGCACCGTTATAGCCGTCTTCAGACAGGACGCTATCAAACCCATTCATTTCTATGTGTTGCGCCGAGCTGACCGCAGCGCAAGGTAGTGCGTGCCGTGCGCGTTCCGCCGAAGTAAAAAAAAAGAAAGTTCAACTGTCGAGAAGTTGATAAACCACAAAGAAAATGGAGGAGAACCTGACCGTGGCCGACCCGCACCCACCTCTTCTTTGCTGCAGCTTGCCTCCTCCTCCTCCTCCTCCTCCTCAGTACAACTAGAGCCAGATACATGGTGCATCCAAGTCCACTGCCCGAAGAACTAGCTAATATCTGCTAATGGCCCCCTGGAAAACTTTGTGATCGGCTATCAACTGGTACATGTGTGCGATTTGTGCTTGTGCGGCCTCCGCCCCTGTGTTGCGCGCGCGGCGCGTACCGCGTTCTGTGTGAAATCCCTTTCATACAGACATCATGTTAAATAGTAGAGATGGGAAATTCGGATCATTTTACTGATTCGGTTCTTTGAATCTCGTTCAGCAAAATGAACGAATCTTTTTCCGAGTCATTTCGTTCACTTCAGCAGAATGTAATTAAAATGTTATTTGTTAATTCCCCATCTACTTACGCACATATTGATCACGTTTC